CTCCACCCCAGTCATATTTTGATGATCTGGTAATGAAGCAGTGATAACTGATTTCTTGAATGGCATGAAAACCAGTGCTACATTTAATATATCTAGACTGCATTCTTATTAATATAAAAGTTTGGTGTTTAGATTTGAAGACATGATTTTGGGGGAAATAACTGAAAAATTTAAAACCTAGATGGAGATAAAAGCATCTGCAATGCTGGCAAGAAATCAGTCTGAATGTTACATAGTGTTTAAGCTGAGTATTACTGGAGCAGATGCTGAGGTTTGGTTAATTCATTAAGTAGGTAATATCTTTCCTATTAGGGACATCTTAGGTCTTTCCTTGGAAGCTCTTACTAATTGGAATAAAATATGCAGCACTGTAAAAAAATGCAGTTTTTCATTTGGCACGTTATGGTTCTCAGCTAGGGCTGCAATCTTATGAAGATAAATCGTACTTGATACGGGGACAGTAGTGGTCTAGAATACAATATTGTTGCCTGGAGTGTTACAGTCTAGAATATTAGTAGAATAGTATGGTCTAGAATACAGTTTTACAATTTTTTGTGTATCATTGTCTTCAAAAGAAGACTTTTCAATGAGTAGTAACACGTTTCTTTTTAAATGAACAGTACTATCTCATACTGTTACCACACTATCATGTTAAAAGAAACTGTATGTATTTTATATATGTAAAATCACTGCTATTTCTTTCCATAATGGAATAGGATCTTAAAATGTTGTTTTTGAATCACAACCATTCCTATGGTCACGTTGACTGTGGAGTTTTTAATGTGAATTTTTAGCAAACAAATCAGAAGCCTCATTAAAAGTCCCACTCTAGGAGTTAACTGGCCACTTGATGTTCTAAAATGGTAGCTGATTTGCTCTAGGGAGAAAAATGTAGTGTTGGATTTTTCCATTCAGCTAACTCACCTACTAAAATAATAATCCTGGAACAGTTGAGTACGGCTGCATGCATCAGGATAGAGAGGGATTTCAATCAGAACAGCATGAGGGAAAAGTGAAGGGAGCTAATTGTTAACTTGGGAAATGGGAGGAAGCTTATATGGAAAAGTACATTGATAGTGCAACATAATATTGTTCAAATAAATCCTTTGCCTCATGGTGGAAATATGCAAGTTTTTTAATATTTCCCATTATCTGTTCATACAGTCTGGGTTTGTCCTTGAATAAAAATACATGAAATACCTGTAGTGTTTTAATTAAAATAAATAGGGAAGAATAGGATTTAACATGATTTGCATAGTGAACCTAATGAGTTTGAGATCCAACAGTGCTTTACAGATTAGTTGCTATCTAGTGCCATTAGTTCATAATTTTATCTATAATGTTTGGCTCTGAGCTTTTAATAAATTAATCAATCAGACTGGGACCACTTGAAGCAGTTGAACTTGAAACCTCTAGGTTGTTGGTCTCAAATAAATGACCTAAATTAAAATAACACTTACATAAGATGGGACCGGACCCATCCCATAGGGAAGTCTGCTGCCTCCCTGGGGCAAGGATAAGAGACATTACCAGGAAGCTCCCTAGGCTGGTAAAATCATCCGATTATTATCCACTATTGGTTGTTCAGGTTGGCAGTGATGAAGTAGCTGATAGAGGCACAAAGACAATCAAAAGGGACTTTATAGAACTGGGGCAATTACTTGAAGGATCAGGAGCGCAGGTAGTGTCTTCCTTCATCCCTTCAGTAGCCAGGAGGCATACGGAAAGGAACAGGAAGATCCATCTCATTAACACGTGGCTCGGAGGCTGGTGCCAGCGGCGGAATTTTGGGTTTTTCAATCATGGGGCAGTTTACATGGCACCAGCCCTGCTGGAGACAGATGGGGTTCACCTGTCGCAAAGGGGGAAAAGGATTCTGGCTCAGGAGTTAGCAGGCCTCATTGAGAGAGCTTTAAACTACATGCGAAGGGGGAAGGGGATAAAACCAGGCTTGCTAGGAATGAGCCTAGGGGTGGCATGCCTGTGTTGGAGAAGAGATCAATAGCCCAACTGAAGTGCATTTACACCAA